TACATTTTAATTGTTACAATCTATAGAGACTTTTGGAAGAAATAATTGATCTGTTAAGAGTGTGTTGACAGTCTTACAGAAACCAGTAATGAGCTGCATGTGCTTTAAGAGAAATAAAGGACTCTAAACTCACATAAAGAACAAGTTCAGTGATAAATAAATAACTAAAACATTGCTAATATTAGCTCATGTCAATGTATTGACTGACCTTTACAAAAATAAAACCTCAATGTGAAGTTCAGAAATTGTTTCTTTTAACGAATGATAATATATCACAGTATAATAGTATAAGACTCACATAACTATTATATAAGTGAATGTAGTTGTGTGTATTGAGACATCAGTGTGGTTTGAGTCTTCACCAAGTACACAAAGACTTCAACCAAGCAACTCTGAGAAGCTTCTACAAAAACAACACACAACTGTTGCATTACCTTTTAACCAGGCTTGGGAAAAAAAATAATTGAAATGTGCTTCATATCAAAGTACCTCAACATAAGTGTATCAACATTAACTACAAAATGCAGCAGCCAAACTAAAAAATAAGCTTCAATAGTCAATAGTCCTATAAAACAACAGCAACAAAACAAATGATGATGGCTAAATTCAACTTATTTTCCCAATACATCATTATTTCTCTTTAAAACTGGAATGTAAAGCCGCTGAACTTCCCATCCCCCACTGTAATGTGTCTTGAGTATTCACTGCTCTCCACTGCTCATTTGCATCTTTATGCCAGCATTAATGGGGGCCAATTGAGTCTTATCCAATCACATTCCAGATCCAGTAGCTCAGCAGGGTTGTATATATTCCAGGTTCCTAACAGAGGCTTCATTAGCTTATTTAGCTAAAAGAGAACAACTTTTGAGGACAAACTACGATTGTTGACTTCTACATTGCGATTATTACCAAATACCTACAAAGAAAAGCCCACTGAGGCCATTTTTTCATCCCACTTCTTCATTGAGGACTGGAAACGTAAGTTGCACATGCTGAATTTACATTCAAATAATATCTGAATGCTAACATTATAAAATGTCAAATCTATACATGCGTGGATGCACTGTTCAACGTTGTATTTAGTCCAGCATACATGAAAAAAGTACAGAAACACAGACTTGTTCAGTTTGTATCTGATAAAAATTTTGAATCAAAGATTCCAGTTGTAGAGGAGGATTTTGAGATCAGGAAGTCCTGGAGTGTCTGTGAAATTAGACCCAAAGTTGAGCCCACAAAGTGCCAAAGAAGAGCTCATTTTAGACAAACCGGTGGAAGATAAACCAGAAGTCAGAATCCTGCGAGCTTATTTAAGCGATTATGCTTGTGGTTTTGAAGGTGATGTGATCAACATAGATTATTGTTATTGACTTGTTTGTAATGTACCACAAAGATACAAAGACGTGGTTACATCAGTAAATGCAAGTGAATAGGTTAAAGCTATGGAAGAAGAAATGCAACTGTTAAAAGAATGCAACTTTTGCTCTCACCAACCTACCTGAAGGCAAAGGTCTAGTGGGTAAATGGGTTTTTGCAAAAACAATGTATGTTGCCAAAGAGAACAATGATAAGTCTTGTCTCCAACTGCTAACATGACTAGTGTAAGAGTGTTAATGCAAAGAAAATCTGATTGTTCATGACATGGATGTAAAAGCAGCATATTTACATGCACCAATAGAGTGTGACAATTCATAGAAAAGCCAGAATGTTATGAGGTAAAATCGAAAAGAAAAGGTGTGAGAAATGTATCAATAAGTCATGACTACACTGTAAAAAATTGCTGTTAAAAAACGGTCAGATTCTACAGTAAAATAATGTTTTTTCACTAAAACAGTAATATTCTGTTAAAAACAGTGCTTTCTGGGTAACATTTTTGTTTTCGAGAAAGTAACCAACTGCAGAAAACTGTGAGCTAACAGAGTTCAGATTCGATGTTTTGAAGTCTGTGTTTGAAATCACGCTTTGTGTCCTTGTTCACTATTTCATACACTAGTTAACTAATATAGTTCACCTGACAGTTTTAATGAACACTAATGAGTGAATTCAGACACTGATGAACACCTGCTGTTAATAATCACAATTACTGAAGAAAATAAACAAGAAACACAAACAGTGACTTGAGTTACAACATTAAATAAACTCAAATAAAATAAAACAGCTTCAGTCTCAGCAGAGGATCATTAAACAACTCCACAAACAACAGCAGACACACACTTATTACTGACTGATTTGACTGCCATACAATTCTCATTGAGATCCAACAGAAATTAAGGTGTTTTTTGTGTCACCGTAATGGAGTGAGGGGCTGATTTAGTTGGGCTCTTCACCCTGAAACTTGTTTAATAAGACTTTCCAATTGCTGTAATACGGAGTTTACAAAATGTTTGAACTATAGCAATAAAGTTGGGAAGTCAATAAATATAGAAATCTATTTGTCTGAAATTAGTTCTGATAAATGTTTTGTTATAAATCTGGAAGAAGAGCCTCATGCAATAGATTTTATGCTTAGTTGCAGGTATTAATTTAATTAATGAGAAGTGGAAACAGAAAAGATACCTCCGTAATTACTTAACAGTTGAGAAATAACATACGTAAACAGTTCAGTTATGACAACTACACACTCAGACCTCATGAATCTGACCTTGTATCTCAACAATGGTAACATCTCAAATGTTTCATGCTGCAATGCATGCTGGGAGTGGCACTGTACAAATATCCCAGCATGCATTGCGGTATAAATAAATGTTGAATAATGGTCTAACAGTTTTCTTTATTTGTGTTTGATTCTGCTGTTGTTTATGTTTAGACTTTCAGTTGCCTGTTTGTGAGTTAAACTGTTAATTTTGTTGGTTGTCACCATTATTGAGGTTCATACGCTGATTATTGATGTCTCTTTGAGTGCAGTTTACACCATAGAGCAGTGTTGTTGTCCAAGATATTCTTAAAAACTTCCAGAAATCATTGCCATATATATATATACATATAATGTTAAACAATAGATTTAACATTGAATAGGAGCAGTAAATTTTATTATACTAAATGAGAACAGACTCTGCCATTTAATAGCAACATGAACATCACCAGATCTTATTTAGGTTTTTGGCTGACTTGCCACAACAAAGGAGCTTTTCAAACAAAGTTCTCAACAATTGCAGCAGCCAAGATATATAATGTTAAAAATGACAGGGCTAAGAGCCCAACTAAAGCAAACTCTGTTCTCCATGATGGTGACGTAAAACTTTAGTAGATGTTATACAAAAATACATGTATTAAGTAATAAGTGTAGCTGGTGATGATGTTTGTAGAGTTGTTTAATCATCCGCTGATCATTTAAATGATTTAATAATTTGTTGTTCTTCAGGTTATTTCATTATAAAGCTGTGACTAAAGTTTTGTATGTTCTGTTCTTGTTTTTTCCCTTCAGTATTTCTTCATTTGTTCATTGTTAATGCTCAATTATCATTTAATTAGTCAGTTAATTAATGAATTTACTTCAGCTTTGCTCCATGTTTCTTGAACACTCAGTAGTGTGGACACTTCAATAAAAACTGAAGTATTTGCTCTGGGGTTTAAAGGGTTAAAGGTGTGAGAGGTAAAATCACAGTGTAAAAATGTATTTTAACAGTAATATACTGTTAATTTACACTACGGAAATAGACTGTAAAAAAACAGTAGATTGCTGGCAACCACAGCTGCCAGTAGATTACTGTTAAATCAAGGAAAAAACAGTATTTTACTGTAAAACCTGAAGCTAATTTCTTCTGTGTGTCACCGTTGTGGAGGAGAGTAGAGCCAGTGTATGAGTTAAAGATGAACAATGAACTTCTGATGTTATTCTGCATGTTTCTCTATTTAAAGACAGCAGCTGTTTAGTTGCTGATGCAGTCAGAATCTCTCTGGTAATTCCAGATTTACATGTATGTGTGCTGTTGTGAAAAATAAGACATTAGAGTTAAACCGAACTTTTCTAATTAACTAAAATAAGTTATAATTATAAGTATGCTTCTGAGCATATATAGCACAATACTTCATAAACTCATTCAGCAGTTGACCAAGTTGAGGCAGTTGGTTTCAGTGAGCAAAATGAGTTCACTTGAGTATTGTGTAAATCAATGTAGTCCATGTATTTTTACAGCAACATACTGTAAAATAACAGTACATTGCTGGCAACTGCAGCTGCCAGTATTTTACTGTTTTTTTAACGGGACAATTTTTAACAGTGTAAGAAAAACAAAAAAGACTTTTATTTTGGTGTGGTGTGTGATGTCATAAGACTGTGCCGCTACCGCACTGTGATTCAACTGGAGAAAGGTTTGTGTCAAAGCTTTTGCACAGATAAAAAACTGATTGATTAAAGTTTCAGGTTTTTCATTCAACGATAAATGATGTACCTGCTGTTAACAATATAATTTTAACCTTTTATACAACGTTGTTCTATCTTAATCACAGTGATGAGGACTATTATTTGAATAAAGATAGGATAAACGTTATTTGTACACAAGAGGAAATTTGTCTCGTGCAAAAAAAAGTGCTACACATTGCTGTAAGCGGACAATAAAATAAAAAACAAACAAACAAAACAATTAGGAACATACCTGAATAAAGTTTGAATAAAGTTACACTAAAGTGTGTAATAAGTGTTTTAATGAAGGTTAAATTTATTAAATAGGCATAATGTCATTCTGTTTAAAGTAAACATCACTGTATATGAGAAATTGAGTACTAGTTTTAATCAGGTCATTTGTGGCTATTGTTTCTTGCTCAGACTTACTATTTTACCTGATTTTTTTGTTAATTACTCTCATATAAAGAAAGTGTTAAAGAGAAGTTATTTTGTTTCTGTTCATTGTTTTATTAATTTTAAACAGGACATTTTTTTTTGTTTTATTCATTTTAAACAGGATAAATTGTCCAAAAGCAGAGGAAAATTTCCTGCTGAAGCGACTGATCTCCACACTGTTGTAAAGATGGCGTTTATTAAAGAGGAGAGTGAAGATGTGAAGATTGAAGAAACATTCACAGTCAAACAGGAAGATCTGCAGGAACAAACAGGTTGATTTTCATTCTCAAACACCAAATCTGATCCTCATTCAGATATATTTTAATAATAAGAATACTAAATTAAATCCATTCTTGCAGCCCTGAGTGTGCTGCCTAGTTCTCCTAAATGCACATAAGCACTCATTGAAAGACAGGAATGAGTTTCTTTCGTCACTTGTTCTCGTGTCTTTTGTCATTCTTTTATGTGTTATTAGTTTCCCATTTTCTCTATCTTCTTAATGTTATTGCTTTTCTTGCTCTTTTACTGTTTGTAAAGCATACATGAGCACTGGCGCTATATAAAATAAATAAAAACAATAAATTAATAAAAGGTTTAACTGAGTTGACAATATAAAGATTTTAAAAAGTAACAGAAAAGTGTGTAATAATTGTATTACCGAAGGTTTAATTTATTTAATAGCATAATGTCATTACATTCTAACAATACATCACTATAAGAAATGGAATACTAGTTTTAATCAGGTCATTTGTGGCTATTGTTTCTTGCTCAGACTTACTTTGATTTCTTTTTGTTATTACTTTCATATAAAGAAACTGTTGAAGCAAGTGTTAAATAGAAGTTATTTTGTTTCTGTTTATTTATTTTAAACAGGACATTTTAATTGTTTTGTTCATTTTGCTTTTCTTGTTCTTCTAAGCATCCTTGAGCACTGGCGCTATATAAAAAAAGTTTAACTGAGCTGACGATATTTGACCTACAGTATTCCTAAGAAGATATCTGCTATTACAGTGATAGTGTTGGCTTAGTATTTTTCATTTGCATATGTCACGTTGATCACAATTCCCTTTTTTCTCAACTTCTTTCTGGGTTAAACTTGATTTTAGTAGATGTTACTAGTTCTCACAGAAAGTATCTGAGTTAGAATTACATCATTATTATACTCTTAATACTTAATTACCAGCTATTGTGTAAAAAGTGTGTCATATGGATGCCCCCAATTTTAAATATGCGGAATTAAATAAATACTAAAATAATTATTTTAAAACATTGTACAGTAATCTAAACTATATTTATGTTGTTGTGGGACGACGTGAGACAAAAGGAACAAATTATAGTGGAACTAAAACGTTTAGCATTGCACTGACTACAACTGGCCAACAAACTAGTCTAAAAATGACCTTTTCTGCTTAAGAAATGGATTACAGCATGCTGATGATATGCAAACATTTGAGTGTGAAGTTCGTCAGTATTGACCATATTTTTTGTGCACCAGCAGGCGCAGCCATTGAATTTTTGCGTTTGACACTTTTTTTAAAGAAATAATTTTTAGATCCTAAAATCATTGTTATGCTGCTTACGCAAGGGATGATAACTCCTTTCATGGTGTAGCCTGGTTTGGAAAAGTCAAGGTTTTAAAACCGCCAAAATTTAAGTCAGAATTATTAGCCCACACCCCCATTGATTTTTTTTTCTTTTTTAAATATTTGCCAAATTGTTTTTAACAGAGTAAGGAAATTTTCAGTTTTTTTAAACACCATTTTAAGGACAGAATTATTAGCCCCTTCTGAATTCTGTCTTCAACTGGATGCAAGTGTTTTTTTTTTTTTTTTTACATTTTAAGATAGTATCTCCAGCAGAAAAGATATCTAAAGATGTCATTTCAAATCGTAAAGCAATCTGTTTTTGAAACTAATGAAAACAACAGATGTCAATGATTCATTTGAATGATTTAGCCTGACATGATTACTGCTCCAAAATATAATAAATAAATATTTCTCGAAAGAAAATATTTTGTGCTTAAAGGGGAAAAAAAAGTGTTTGTTTTATACCTAGACATTTAAAAGAATATATTTTAGAGCAGTAATCACAATACTGTGAAAGCATGATATTTTTATTCAAGGTTATCATACGTCAGAATCTTATACTGCCCATGCCTAATGCTGCTTGATGTTGCAAAGTCATATTTTCTTATTTTATTATTTTTCTTTGTATGAATAAACATGAATACACTTGTTTGTAGAGCAAGTAGTGTGACCCTTTTTTTACCGTTATTCCTGGTCATTTCTCCAATAGGCAACTGAAGCACTAAAACAATAGCATGTGAGATCAGGGGCTGTTTCATGAAAGTGGTTTAGAAAAGTGGAGATTAAAGTTGAAAACCTGGCTTCAGTGAGCCGAACTAATCGTCCACACTTAAATTGGTTCCATAACAGAAATTCGAAAATCATTTGATGTAACTAATCTGAGTTCAGTCAAAATAATCCAGATAACTTGCTTGTGCACGTTACTGTCATGAAACCCTGAAGGTTGAGCACAGATGCATTGATTATGTTGTGTGCTACCATGGCAACTACTTAGTGTTATAGAACCAATTTAAGCCCCTAGGGGTTATAAAATAATCCTGGGTTTTCATTAACAGACGTTTCACATTGGCAAACCCTGGGTTAACATTATTATTTGTATATTTAAGATGCCACTGTCCCTGATTGGACAAACAGCAGGTAACCTTTTGAGATGGCATTTCTGCATCTTGGCAGGTATATAAAATGTCACGACGCAGGTCTTCAGCTAAGCTTCTTTGGCTTAGTCTCTTTATTCATCAAGGGTCGCCACAGCTGAATGAACTACCAACTTATCCAGCATATGTTTTAAACCAGCTTCAACTCAGTACTAGGAAATATTTGCATAAGTTATATACAATAATGCAAACTCACAAATAGAAGAGTAAATTATGCGCACTTGCTATGAACATGCAGGATTTGCTCCAATCGGGTTTTCCAAGCAAGTTTAAAATGTTTAAATCATGTGGAAGATACACATGAGGGAACTTAACACGAGTAATCCAGAGCGAGTGCATTTGATCAGTTGCATTTAAAGCCACAGGCGCAAAAAGAGCTTGGTTTTCCTCCAGACCACCAAAATTAAATATTCTCAAAGAAATATGATCTGATTTTGAGCCAAAACCTCAGACACATTCTGGGAACACCAAAGACTTATTTTCAAAAAAATAAAAAATAATAATATTAATAAGTTTTTCTTTAAAAAAAAAATAATAATAATAATAAAGGTTCATAATAGGAACCCTTTAAAGATATTTATGAAACAGAAATGAAAATAGCCTCACCATTTACTGTACCTCTTGTGGTTTTTAACCTTTATGGGGTTTGTTCATTCTGTTGAACACAAAAGAAGATATTGTGAAAACAAATGTTAGCTTTCTTTGTGTTCCAGAAGAAAGGAATTGTTTAAAAGCAAATGAGAGAGTAAATGGTATGGTCATTTATATTTGTGGGTGAAACATCCATTTCATGCTTATCGCTTTGAGTCTTCATACTAAAGTTAACTTCTTCTTTTTTTTTTTAAGACCTGATGTTGCTGAAAGAAAAGACTCATCAACAGAATGAAATGGAAGAGAAACAGCAAGACATGACGACTGATGAAAAACCCACACTGACGAAAAAGACTTTGTCATGTGGAAGACCTCGGAAATCCAAACTTAGGTGTAATTTCAGCTGTAAACAGTGTGGAAAAAGTTTCAGTCAGAAGCCAAAGCTTGATGTTCACATAAGAGATCACACTAGGGAGAAAGCTTATACTTGCAAACAGTGTGGAAAGAGCTTCTATAATACAAGAAACCTAACAGTGCACATGAGAATTCACACTGGAGAAAGGCCGTACACATGCCAACAGTGTGGGAAAAGCTTCCATAAAACAGGAAACTTAACAGTGCACATGCGAATTCACACTGGAGAGAGGCCATACACATGCCAACAGTGTGGGAAAAGCTTTCAAACTACAGGAAACTTAACAGTGCACATGAGAATTCACACTGGGGAGAAGCCTTACTCTTGCCCTCAGTGTGGAAAAAGTTATAGTCAAAATAGCAACCTTGAAGTCCACATGAGAACTCACAATGGAGGAAGAACTTTTGTTTGCACACAGTGTGGTAAAAGTTTTGTTAAAAAACAAAATCTTGACCTCCACATGAGGATTCACACTGGAGAGAAACCTTACACATGCACAGAGTGTGGTAAAAGTTTCCCATATAAAAGCACACTCAAACACCACATGATAGTTCACACCGGAGAGAAGCCGTTTGCATGTGCGCAGTGTGGAAAGAGCTTCACATATAATGCTAACCTCAGGAACCACATGAATGGTCACACTGGAACCATAGTGTTCACATGTGATCTGTGTGGAAAGAGTCTCACACACAAATACTCCATAAAGAACCACATGAAGACTCACTCAGGAGAGCGTTTTATATGCATTGAGTGTGGAAAGGGCTTTAAACATAAAAGAAGCCTCAGCAATCACATGGAGCTTCACAATGGAGAGCAGAGTCCTCAAAATTAAGGCCTTGTCCACACAAACATGAGTATATTCATAACAGCAGCCTTTTCATGTAGTTTGGCTGTTCATTGACGTGAGGTTTATTTATAAACTACTTTCGAGAGGATCACATGCTTATTATTGTCCACGGCTGGTTCCACATTAACCAACACATGATTCACCAATCAGACGATTCCTAACTCACTATTAATAACCAGAGTTTCTAACCTTAGTTATCTTTATCTTGAAGAATTCCCCTCCCACCCCTACTCCTCCTCCTTTCTAGAATGGGCAATACAGCAGCCCAGTGATTAGTATTGTTGCCTCACAGCAAGAATGTCACAGCAAGAAGAGCCCTCACTGAACTGGTTGATATTTGTGGAGAGTTTGCTTATTCTCCCCATGCTCACATGGGTTTTCCCCAGTTTCCTTCCACAGCCCAAAAACACGTAACCTAAGTAAACTGAACATTCTAAATTGGCACCGTAGTCAAGCTCTTAGAAGCCATATATCTCCCTTTAGCCATCTGGATATCTGTCATTAGAACAGAAACAAGTCGGGGGAGTTCATCAAGATCTACCTGAGCTCATACTCCTCTCTCACCCTGCTTACGAGAGGTAGCCCGGGGCTGGAGGATGATTGTTACGGTCCGTGGGAGTTTGTATTTTTGTGCCTTCTCCCTCTCTGTTTTGCTTATCTCCCTTCGCTCTCTTCGCATCTCCTCGACTGTCATTCGCTCTTTGTCTCGCCCTATCACCTTTTGTTCCGCTACTTTTTCTCTACTAGGTACCTGCTGATTGGATCCCGAGCCTGTCACTCCTCATTAGGGCGTTTCCTCGTGGACCAATTGGATTTCGTTCCACGGACTTTAAATTCGACCAGCCCGCCTTGTTTTTCAGAGTGCTATGTGTGTGCGTGTTGGTTTGTGTTCCCTTGCTGCTGTTCATAATGTATGCTTTGTTCTGTGTTTCTGAATAACTACATCGATGTAAATTAAGTCATGGTTAAAGAGTTTATCATTCCTTTTTGGGGAAAAGGGAATAGTTTACTAAGCCACTTCACATACATTTTGCCCGTAGGTAACTTCAATGTTCAGAAACACTAGGTAAGTGGGTGAGCGCCACATTTTGTATTTTTGCTTATTATTTCAGGGAGTTTAGGTGTTGCTTCGCAAACGCTGAAGATTTCAGTTTCTTTTTCACATTTTGATTTTTATTAGTAAGTTTAGAGGGGGATCTTGTGTTCTAGTTTAGGTGGCTTTTGGTTTTGTTTAGTTCTTTGCTTTGGCGCCACTCTAGTTCCTTTTTCCCCTATAACTTTTGATTGTATTTCTTCTTTTTTTCTTCTTCTTCTTCTTCTTCTTATTATTATTATATATACATTGTACAAAGCGCACACATGTAAGCCTCTCTTTTGTTGGCTTCATTTTTCTTCTCCTCATAAAAGGAATAAATGAATTGAATGTAAATTTTGGTGTCCTGGTGTATTTTCCATCCATCTACTCAGAAATAATTTAATATTATAAGTGTTACGTTTATTTTCCCCGGACAACTTAATTAAACCGTAACATTTAATGATTTCTCAAATTTCATCATATACTTCCTTTAAAATACTAGATAAAATATCTTTAAAAACAATATAAAATTCACTACCCAACCCATCTATTCCTGGACTTTTCTTTTTGTTCAATCCACTAATTGCTCTTTTTATTTCTTCTTCTCTTATCTCCTCGTCACATTCTCTTTTTTCCCCTTCTTCTACTCTTGATTTTATTAGATTTAGTAATTCCCCTTTTTCTTTTTCTTTTATTCCCTCTGTGCAAAACAATTTCTCATAATATGATCTTATTTCTTCCAAAATCTCCTCATGTTGTTCTACTATGTTCCCATTTTTGCTCCTTATTTCTCTAATCATTTCTGACTTCCCTCTTCTCTTCTCTAGATCAAAGAAAAATTTAGTGCACTTTTCCCCCTCTACTGTAAATTTTGCTTTGCTTCTTAATCTTGCACCTTCAAATTTCTCCTCCTCCATTTCTTTCAATCTTTCTTGCAGTTCTTTTATCTTTTGTATATTTTTTTCCATTCTCATTTTTCAATTCGTTTTCTAGTTTTTCTTTCAGCTCCTTTTCCTTATATTTTTTACAATTTTGTAATTGTCTACAATATTTTATCGTAAACTTTTTAACTAAATACTTCACATTCTCCCACCACATTCTTTTGTCTTCATTATAAATTTCATTCCCTTTTTCCTTTTGAATAATTTCCTTTACACTTAAAACATAGTCTTCATTCTTTAAAACCGCTGTGTTTAAAACCCATACCCCTGGCCCTCTTTTCACATTACTCCAGTCTAGCTTCATAAAAAGTGGCTTATGGTCACTCAGACTTGTTTCTTCATATTTAATCTTGTTTATAAACCCTTCAACATTTCTTGTGCATAAAATAAAATCTATTCTTGTTTGACAAAAAAAAATTCCCCACTATCTGTCTTCTTGAGTACTCTTTTGTCTGTTCATTCCTTTCTCTCCACACATCAATTAAATTAATTTCCTCCATCAATATTTTTAGTTCTTTTCTCCCCTTATCCGTTTTAAAAACCATTCCCTCAGCCATTTCTAATTTACTAAAAACAGTGTTAAAATCACCCATGATAATAACTCTTTCGTGTTTCTTCAAATAATCTCTAAGTACATTAAAATACTCTTTCTTTTTGTTCTCCTCTGTTGGGGCGTGAACATTCACCATAATTACTTTTTTCTTTTCATACTCCATTTCACATATCATACACTTCCCCTCTTTGTCATTATAGATTGTTTTACATAAAACCCCACTGTTTTCTTTTAATAAAATTGCAACTCCTCTCCCTAGTCTCCCATCCCCATTATTGTATAACATTTCCCCACTCCACCTTTTTCTTATTTCGTTCATACATTCTTCCCTCCAGTTTGTCTCTTGTAGTAAAATCACATCTTCTCGTTTACACATTTCTTTCACTTTTTCAAATTTCCTGATGTCTAAAAGCCCTCTTGCATTAAAAGACACAATTCCTAAAACCATAAAAAATATAAAAACATTCATAAAAGACATAAAAAACATTCATAAAAAACATCATCTCAGTCCATATCTTCCAAGCCATTTAGCAACTCATACTTATTTGCGCATTCTATTTCTTCATCTTTTAGCAGTTTTTTTCTTGCAGTCTCTAAATTAGGCTTTATCTTTAACGATCTTCTTCTTTTTGCTGATTTCCCCTGTGTCTCTTTGTTTCCATCGTTTTGTAAATGTCCCTCTAAATCGGCTTGCTCGTCAATACTTTGGCCTTTTGTCTCCTCTGTGTCCAATGCCTTTTGAAAACTGTCTGTCATGTCCATTTGTGTCCAAAATGTGTCTTCCTGTTGTCCTTGATTTAAGTCTTTATTATTCGAATCTCTCAATTCTGCTGCTTCCAAAACACTCTTTAAACTGTCAGTCATATCCATTTGTGTCCATGTTGTCCCTTCCTGTTCCGTGACTCTGTCTATTCCATTAGTCTCATTCTCTTGTAGTTTTTCACTTTCAGATTCTGTTCTTTTTTCTTGTGTTGTTGTTTTGTCCTCTGACTGGATATTGTCTCCTTCATACATCTGCCTGCCTACCTGCTGCTCTACCTCCTCCTCCTCTTCCCCCATCCAACCTTCACATTTATTTAAAACCTTATTACAATCCGGGCACTTCACAGCAGTGCAAAACTTTGCAAAGTGCCCCCTTTCCTCGCACTTATAGCACCTAAAATCAGGACAGTCTTTTACCACATGATCTGGGCTCATGCACAGCCTGCACGTTTTCACCTGATGACTGTGCATCACCCTAAAGTATTGTGGACCTTCTGCTGTCTCTATTCTTGTGCTGTACGGGAGGGACGCCACTTCTTTGGGGAATCTGGTTTTCACAAACCTCGTCCCATCTTCAATATTTGTGCCCGGATAAAACCTTCTTTTAATTTTTGAAATGGGACAAACTCCCCAATGATCCAATTTGTCTAAAATATCTTTATCAGCAACATAGACAGGCAGATGCATGAAGGAGACAACAAAATCACGGTTTTGTAGCCTCTTAACTGCACAGTTTATCCCTTTAATAGTCAATTCGTCCGTTAACTCATCAGCATCTTCCTCTCTTTCAAGTGTTACTTCATATTCCTTGTTGTGTTTTGGTCTTACGGCCAAAATCTTTCCATCCCCAATCCTCTCCGTCACTGCTTTTATTACATCCATTGCTCTCACCTCTGTTGCTTGTCCTATGTCCACTGTTACAGTTGCTTCTTTTAGATAAATCCTTTTCCTTGCTTCCTTCTCCGATTGGTTTGTTTTTCGTTGTCGTCTGTCCAGTCCATTGTCATTTGCCTTCTCAACTCCGTCCGCCATTGCCAGGTCTGTCACCGTAGATCCGTCCATTGCAAAAAAAAAACTAAATAAAAAACACTCCTCCCGAACAGCTCACGCTGCTGGGAGGACAAACTAAACAAACAAAAAAAGTTTAACAAAAATGTATTTAAGACAAAAACAAAAATAAACAAAGAAAATCTGGTGAGCCTCTCTCACCAACTGCAGCCAAACACTTCCTGGAATGTACCACTATCACACATGCACAGGGTGGTATGGCCGTAAGCGAGAGAGGCTGTCAAGAGTTGGCTATTTAAAACAGGCGCAGCACCAGGGAGCTCAGCTGGCATCGACACAGCAACGACAGAAACAATGCCCTTGAAGGCGAGAAAAAATAATGGCAGCGAAGCTGTGACATGGGGAGGTGTATCAGCTGCCAAATGAAGGACTTCGAAAAGCTTACAGCACCTGGTATTCCCAGGCGGTCTCCCATCCAAGTACTAACCAGGCCCGACCCTGCTTTACTTCCGAGTTCAGATGAGATCGGGCATTTCCTTTTTTTTTTTTTTTTTATTAAAAAAGCTTAAAAATAAAATATATCATATGTAAACATTTCA